ATTTCATTACAGTAGTAGGTACAGTAGTAGGTATTTTTATTTCATTACAGTAGTAGGTACAGTAGTAGGTATTTTTATTTCATTACAGTAGTAGGCACAGTAGTAGATATTTTTATTTCATTACAGTAGTAGATACAGTAGTAGGTATTTTTATTTCATTACAGTAGTAGGTATTTTCATGTTCTGACAAGGGAAGGCCTCCATGAAATGAGCTGACACTGTAGCCACAACCATCACAGGAAGCTGCCCGAGCAGCCAGTGCTTCTTCCAGTAACATATGCAGGAGCTTCAGAAAGTTCGAGGAAAACTTCCATTCTCTTTTCATTCTATTTGTCCATGAACTTTCTGAAGCCCCCTTGTAAGGGTGCCAGGAGTCAGAGCCAACTCAATAGTTCGACTTTCAACACCTAACTCACCTGTCACATAATTCATTGTGAGCCAGATAGATCTATTAGGTATTAACTCAATTATCCTGTGAAAGTGTGGTGTATTATACCCAAACCAGTGCAAACCCACTGCCATCTTGTCAATTCCGACTCATAGTGACCCTACGTAGGGTTTCCAAGACTATAAATCTCCTCAGGAGCAGAAAGCCTCTTCTTTCTCCCAAGGAGCAACTGGTGGAGTCAACTGCTGACCTTGAGGTTAGCCGCTCAACACATAACCCACTCCACCACCAGGGTTCCTTATAGTACATTGGTGGTGGTGTGTGCCCTCGAGTGGATTATGAGTCATAGCAACCTTGTACAGGGTTTCCGAAGCTATAAATCTTTACAGGAACAGAAAACCTCATCATTCTCCTGAAGAGCAGCTGGTGTGGTGTGTTCAAACTGCCAACCTGGTGGTTAGCAGTTCAGTTCTTATACTACTGCATCACCAGCGCTCATAATAAAGTATAGTATTGTTGTTAAGTGCTGTCAAACCAATTCCAACTCATAATGACCCCGTATAGGATTTCCAAAGAGCAACTGGTGGCTTTGAACTGCTGACCATGCAATTCAAACTAACCTTGCTGTCCAATGCATTATCCTGCAATGCCACACCAGGACTCCAGTATAGTATGTTGTTGTTGTTACGTGTCATCTAGTTGGTTCTGACCCATAGGGATCCTGTACAGGGTTTCCAAGGAGCAACTGGTGATCTTGAACCGCCAATCTTGCAGTTCAAACTGACTTGGCCATCTGGCACATTAACCCACAGTGCCACACCAGGACTCCCCAGTATAATATGTTGTTATTAAGTGCCATCAAGTTGATTCCAACCTGTAGCAACCCTGTATAGGGTTTCCAAGGAGCAACTGGTGAGCTTGAACCACCGACCTTGCAGTTCAAATGACTTTGCAGTCTGACACATTAGCCCGTAGCACCACACCAGGACTCCCCAGTATAATATAGAAAAACATTTTTACAAGATTTTATTAACCTCCATTTGATTTGTGCTTGGCCAGGCCTTGTTTCTTTCAAGTACCAAAGCCAGTAAGTTTGTGATGACATATTTCGGTTATTTAAGCCATATCTCACTTTTTAGAACTTCAAAAAGAAACAATACCCACATTGCCTTAACTCAGCTCACAAGTGGTTTGGTCATGTCAGGGTCTCTCCCACTGTGCAAATGACAGCACCGAGGTCCCCCAGGGTCCCTCTCACTCTCTTGCTGCCTGCAGATGCCCACCCAGTGTAGATGTAGTGTTTAGGTCCACTTAGTTGGCAGCCACAGAAAGACTGGCAAACATGAATACTAAAACGTTTAGGAGTGAGGGGCAGCCCTGGGGTGGCTTAGAGGGATGTAGGGGGCAGGAATCCTGGGACAGTATCTTCGAAGAGCCGCACCAGGAAGGATTCTGCTCAGGGGAGACTAATCCACTTTACACTTGTGCCCATTCCTTTGGCTGGTGAGGAAGGGGCCACTTGATAGTCCCAGGGACTTGAGGGGAGGGGTTGCTTCTGTTAACCAAAGAAAGGAGAGGAGATGCAGAGCATGGTAGCCACGGTTACCCACTATGGGAGGTATATGGGTCCTGCGACTGGGGCTGCAGCTCTGGGCCAGCCAGCAGCTGTGTCCTTGTGTTTACCCGGAACCCTGTGTGTAGAGCACACCCCACTGAGGGCTTCCATAGTGCCCGGAATGAAGACTACCTAGTCCTTTCAGGCCAGTGTCTCAGCCCCAAGGGAGTCCTAAGGGGGTGCATGTCCATGGACCCAGCCAACCCAGATAGAAACCACTTCAGGGAAATGTGGTCTGGATGCCTGGGCCCTTTCCTTTACCCTGTGTCTCTTCTTTCCAACAGTGGGAATGTTATCATAGAAACCAAGTTTTTTGATGATGATCTTCTCGTGAGCACGTCCAGAGTGAGACTTTTCTACGTTTGAGAGAAGAATGTGTGTGCATCTCAAGAGTTTGGGGCTTGGGGGCGAGGAGGAAACTGTTTACTTCTTTCCTCCACAATTTTGATTTCTCACACTTCTGCTCCAGATTCTCTCTTGGGCAAAACCCACCTGTGGCCACCAGGGGACCAGCTCTGTGTAGACACTCGATGGCCTTTTTCTTCTCAACAGCCATCTTCCACTGACCAGATCAGGGAGGGTTGGCCCGACCCCTTCCTGATGCAAGCATGAGAAGGGGGTGGGGACAAACACACCGTGAGCCAATTCCAGCCCCCCCCCCCCCCCCAATGGGCCATGCAGACTGGCAACACACCTTCCTTCAGCCCCTGGTTTTGAAAACATTCATATTTCTGACCCATGTTTAGTTTTTTTTTTCTCACCATTTCTATTTCATACATTCTCTACATTTACCTTGTAAAATAGACTGATATTATTATTATATAATGTAATTAAAACATAAATTAAAATATTCCTACAGTCTCTAGCATGGCTGTGCTTTCATCTTCTCTCCTTTTCTGGAACAAGAACCTCGGCCCATGGTGACAAGAAAGAAAAGTATCAAACCCTAAGATCAAAATTATTCCTGAGATCGGCAGAGCTTGCGACTTTCCAGAAATGTGCCACGCACCTGAACAAGACCAGAGACCTTAACGTGTGTGTCGTAGTCATGCTGTGCCCTAGTTCTCTTCCTCAACACCCATGCTCCCTTTGCTTGTTTGCTGTTTAACACTTGGTTCCATTCCTTATAATGTTCATTTATTCAGAGGGTTCCAGGAAGGATAGCTGATCTGAGCTGGTAGAATCAGGGCTCCACTGTCCCTAAGTAGGAGAATTGAAGTTACACAACGAAAAGGCTATCTCTAGCTGTTTAACTAGAGAGCAGTGGGAAAGAAGCTGGGATGGAGGAACACTGGGGTCTCTGAAACCCAGACCCAGAACCAGTGTTCAGAAGACATCACTGTGGGAGAGAAGTGATCATGTTGGTACTGCTTCCAGGTTCCATGTGGAGCTGCCAGGAGCCTTCACCATCCTCTACAAAATACCAACAGTGAAAGGCTTTCCTGTTTGTGAGGTAGTGAGCCCAGAGGACAGGAGAGTACACCTGTCAGATAGGCCTGGCTCCCAGACTCCTGCCCTCCTCTCAGAATCGATGACGGAGAGGGGAAGTCGCGAGTCTTTCATGCACAGCCGCCGGTTGTCAGGGACGCTGTCCTCCATCAGACCTGTTGCTTGTCAAAGCTGTCTAGTTGTTTTCTTATGTTGATTTGGGGAGTTGATTTAAAACTTACACAATGCTTGGTAAAAGATGGGAAGTAGACCTGAAAACACTTGGACCACATGGAGGTGTGCTGGATTTCTCTTGGCAATATCTACCTGGTTTTTAAATACCAAAAACTAGATTAAAAAGAACCATGGCACTATGAAGATGAGTTCAGATTTACTTTTGCACTCCTGAAATGCCATCTCTTTGCCCAGAGAGTAGGCCTGTCTCCTGCTTGCTGCCTGAACCATATCTGTACCACAGAATTCCATCCAGGATCTCTATCAGAATGGACAATCCAATTGGGGAGGGAAAGAGCTGCCTGGGGCACGCGGCTCTGCAGCTAACTTCCTCTGCTGCCTCACCCCAGAACTGTGTGAGGTACACTGCTGTGCCAGCTGCTCTGAGGAAAGCTGAAAGAACAACAGCCCCGTGGCTGAGGTTGCGTGCATTTCTCTGGGGTAACAGTACACATACTCAGGAAATAAGGATCACTTTTATCACGCAATGAACAATACAGAAGTCTGTGTGTCTCGGGGATAGTGCCTGCCCAGGGACTCCAGATAGTGTGGGAGGATGAGGGCTCCGATGACGGGCAACAAGGAGAGAACACAGAGCTGCAGGAGACCTGGCCACTGGACCCCTCCTAGGTCCAGGTAGGGTGCACACATGCCTGACCCGCTGACGACTGCTGCATATTGAGAGGGAAGCATGTGCTGGGGGCACCGTCCTGCCCCCGAAGCCTGGGTCAGTGGGGCTCAGAAGCTGTATGCTAAAGCATTGCTGACGGTTCTGACTCAGTGTGCCTGGACCATACTTTGAGAAAGGCTGGTGGAGACATTTCATCCATGTTAGAGACGTGCTTGGTGATCCTGGAGAATGGCTGCAGGATTAAGGAATGAAAGCAGGGGACAAGGGGCCCCAGCTCTGACCAGTGCCAGCTGAGGGGAAGAGTGCAGATGCTCTAAAGATAATCCCGGGGTCTTTAGAGGCCCAGGCAGCAGGGTCTTGGAGGGAGGAGACTTGGGAGAACGTAGATTGAGAATTTTGGTTAACGTTTGCAATAAACTCTCTCATCCATCTTCTATCTATGTCACTGGCCTGTGTTTTGGGCATCGGGCTGTTGTGGTGCAGGCCTGAGTTAGGCCGTAGATGGGGTATGAGGGGTGAGGGGGTACAGTTACCCAAAGGTCACATCAGACCACTTCATGCCTTCCCTGTAATATGTGTTAGCGCTGTAGGGCACAGCCCAGGCCCTGGCCTGCCTTTACTAAGCTTCATCTCTGTTGTTAGATTCTGACTCATAGCGACCATGGATAGGATTTCCAAGGAGCAGCTGGTGAGTTTGAACCACCGACCTTGTGGTTCAAACTGACCTTGTGGTTGAGTGCTTATCCTACAGCACTACACCAGGACTTCATCTCTAGGAAGGTAATATAACAAATAGTAGGTACCATCGAGTCATTTCCAACCCTTAGCAACCCGGCCCGGCCCTGCGCCATCCTCACAAGCGTTGCTACCATTGTTGCTGCTGTTGTATCAACCCGTTTCATTGAGGGTCTTCCTCTTTTCCATTAACCCTTTACTTTACCAAACATAATAGCCTTCATCAGGTTCCACCTGATAACATGTCCTAAGTATATGAGATGAAATCTCCCCATCCTTCTAACAGGCATTCTAGCTCTACTTCTAAGACAGATCTGTTCTTCTGGCAGCCCTGTTGTATTCAATATTTTTTGTCAACACCATAATTTAAATACATTAATTCTCCTTCAGTCTTATTCACTGTCCAGCTTTCACATGCATATTGTTGTTGTGAAGTGCCTTCAAGTCAGTTCTGACCCATAGCGACCCTGTAAGGGTTTCCGAGGAGCAGCTGGTGAGCTTGAACCACCGACCTTGCAGTTCAAACGGCTTTGCAACCTGGCGCATTAACCCACAGCGCCACCCCAGGACTCCTTCACATGCATATGAGGTGGTAGAAAAGACCACTGACTTGGATCACACTTTGGCCCTCAAAGTATTATCTTTGTTCTTAAACACTTTTTTTTAAGGAGGTTTTTTTGCAGCTGGTTTGCCCAATGCCGTATGTGACAAACAGATCCTAAAGGCCATGAGAGAAGTACAGAAGGGAACTCAAAGAAAGATTACACATGATTAAGAAAAACCGGGCAAGTCTTTTCTCTGGATCCTTTAGCTCTCAACCTATGAGAGGTTCAAGTCCTCTTTAAAAACAAAGGCTTTCCTTCAGTCCTGCATCACCTTCAGCTCCTGCCGGATCTCTCCTTCTCCACAGGTCCATGTCTCCTAGTCTTCACTCCCCTTTTCAACTTTCCACCTGGTGTTGGCCCGGGCCCCACCCCCTCTAAGGCCTCTCTCCAGTTCATGGGAAGCTTCCTACTCAGACCCAGTGGGCCCTTCCAGTCCTTTTTGCCTGATCTGTGTTGTAGGGGGAAACCCTGTACAGAGGGGCTTTGAGTCAGAACAAGGGGGAAAATGACCCCATAGTCAGACATAGTTTATACCCCAGAGTCATAGCAACTCTACAGGACAGCAGAACTGTTCCTTAGAGGTTTGAGACTGTGAGTCTATAGGAGCAGAAAGGCTCATTGTTTTTCCTCAGATCTGCTTATAGCAACTGACAATCTTACAGACACCAGCCCAGTGCTTAACCCACTGTGCCATCAGGCCTCTTTACAGATCCTGTTTGCCATGGAGTTGGTCCGACTCATAGTGACCCTATATAGTGTTTCTGAGGAACGACTGGTGGGTTTGAACTGCGAACCTTGTGGTTAGCTGTCCAGAACTTATTCTACAGCACCACTCCAGTTCCCTACATATCCTGTGTTGTTGTTAAGGGCTGTAGAGTCAGTTCCAACTCACGGAGACCCTGTATAGGGTTTCTGAGAAGTGGCTGATGAGTTTGAACCACCAACTTTGCAGTTCAAGCCAATTTTGCAGACCAGTGTTTATCCTACAGAGCCACCACACCAGGATTCCTGTTGTTGTTAGGTACCATCGGGTCAATACTGACTCAGAGCCACCCTATGCACAGCACAACCAAACACTGCCAGGTCCTGGGTCAACCTCACAAGTGCCTGCTACATTTGAGCCCATGGCTGATGATACTGTGCCAATCCATCTCATTGGGAGTCTTTCTCGATTTCACCTACCCTCCATTTTACCAAACATGATATCCTTTTCCAGGGACTGGTCCCCTCCTGACAATATATCCGAAGTATGAGAGACAAAGTCTGGCCATCCTGGCTTCCAAGGAGCGCTCAGGATGTACTTCTTCCAACACAGATCTGTTGGTTCTTTCGGCAGCCCGTGGTACTCCCCATAGTTTTTTCCAACACCATAATCAAGTGCATCAATTCTTCTACAGTCTTCCTTATTCACTATCCAACTTTCACATGCATGTGAAGTTATTGAAAATACCATGGCTTGGGTCAGGCACACCTTAATTCTTAAGCTGACATCTTTGCTCTTCAAGCTTTACAAAGATCTTGTGCTGCAGATTCGCTTAATGCAATACGTCATTTGATTTCTTGACTGCTGCTTCCATGAGTGTTGATGGTTGATCTGAGCAAAAGAAAGTCTTTGACAACTTCAATCTTTTCTCTATTTATCTTGATGTTATTTATTGGTCCAGTGTTGAGGATTTTTGTTTTCTTTACATTGAGATGCAATCCATTTTGAAGGCTGTGGCCTTTGACCCTCATTAGTAAGTATTTTAAGTCCTCTTCA